ATCCTACCTGAGGCAAGAGGAGCACCAAGAGGAGGAAGCCAGCCTGGGTTATATAGTAAGACCCTTTCTCAAAACCAGCTTTTTAAAAAAGCAGAAAACAAACAGAAATAAAGGAAAGCAAAAGCAAGGACTGGTGAGGTTATGAAACTTCATACACCACTGGTAGAAATGTGAAATGGCTCTCAATATGTTAAACGTAGAACTATCCTATCATCTAACAGTTCTACTATGTATATACCCAAAAGAACTAAAAATAGATATTCAAACAAAAACTTGTATACAAATATTCATAGTAACATTATTTATAGACGATACCACTAGATCACAAAGATAGAAACAACCCAATTGTCCACTGATCAATACACAAAATGTGGTGCATCCACACAGTGAAATACATGGCAATAAAAAGAACGATCCATTGGTATCTGTGAGAAGATTGGTTCCAGGCCTCTTTATTCACATGGGCATGTAGCAAATCTATAGATATTGATATCTATGATTTAAAAAGCACAGTATTTGCATATAAAATACCTTAAACCTCCATTTAGTTCATATCTCTAGATTACTTACAAACCACATGAATGTTATATTGTTTATGGAATAACAAGAACAAGCATGTGTGTGTTAAACATACACATCATTTTCCAAATATTTTCAGTAACTGGTTGATTGAATCCCAGGATGGAGACTCCAGAAACACAAAAGACCAAATGCATTCATTTTGTTATAACATGAGTGAACCTCAAAAATATTACTCTAAGTGGAAACAGATATTAAATGCTACTCATTGCATCTCATTTATGTTAACTATTCTGAACAGATAAATCCAGTAGATACATGTTCATGGTTTCCATGAACTAGTTTTTTCTTTCATGATGATGAAATGTTTTTCAACTAGATAGATACGGTCTCACATTATGAATGAATATACTGTCATTCAACTATGGTTAATTTACATGAATTTTACCAAAAAATGTTAAATGTACTTTTTTAGGTCAAATGTATACATGAAGCCAAGAAAAATGAAAAAGCATGTGTCTATTGTCCAAAACTGTCCAGAGTAGCTTTACTTCTTTCAAATAGCCAAAAATAGCCACTCATAGGTTTAAAAATTGGTATTTAAATTTACCTATACATATACATATATATGTATATATACACAAGCATACACACCAATGTATTTACTGAAACTCACTGGACTGTATCCCTAAAACAGGTGCATTATTTACAAACTAAATTACTAATGTTTTTTTTTAAAGTTAAAGATATCTATTTAAATTAAAAGGAAAAGCAATAAAGTTATAAATTTATATTAACAAATGTATGAACTGGTCTTCAGGAAACAAGTTTTTCTCTGCCTCCACATATTGGCTGTCTATACCTATTATTCATGTTTCTTTATGATTCCAATGTTATACCAACCTACAAAGACCTTTTCAGTTTTGCTTCCAAAATCTTACATCTCAACTTAAAAATTCAAGTAATCATGTAAATGCTCTAGATAAGCAGTCTCTAACCTTTCTGGTACCAGGCACCAGTTTTATGACAGGTAATTTTTTCCAATGGTAGGTGAGTGGTATCTTGGAATAATTCAAAGGAGAGCAGACTCCACGTACATGCACAGCTCAGGGTCCCAGGAGAATCTAATGCCACTGCTGATCTGACAGGAGGCTGAGTTCATCTAGTGATGGGTAGCTGCTATAAATACAGATAAAGCTCTTTGCTGGTCTGATGTGCAGCCCAGTTCTTCTGAGTTCCTGGTCTGAAGCTTGGGGACTACTTCACATACTCAGAAATTACTTTGGACTAACTCCACCCACTAGTTTTTAGGATGATGACCCTACAATACTAGCAGGTTTTTATAGACAGGAATGTGAACAAGATTAGTTAAGAGTTCAAACAGAAAACAAACTTCCTTAATTTTTCACACTCTGAATAAAGTTTTTAAAAAATAATACATAACAACATATCATTCCTAATTTAAAAACCGTACAAAGAGGAAACCAAGTATTCAAAAAGTATACTTTAAAAGTTATTGAGCTGGGTAGGCATAGTGGCACATAATTCTAGTAACAGCTTACCAGGCTAAGGCAGGAGGACTCAATCACCATGAATTCAAGGCCACCCTGGGCTGCATAGTGACTTCAAGGTCAGCCTGAGCTACATAGGGAGACTGAGTCAACAAAACAAAACATGACCAAAGTTCTTAATTCTTTTTCTGTCTCCTTCCTCTCTCTTCCCATTCCAGTATGTACGTGTACGAACTTCCAATGAGGAACGTAATCCTTATATACTATAAACATGTACCAATAAAAATAAAATTTTAATTTTAAAATATCACATTAAAAAATAACAAAGCTATTATTTTGGTACCTCAGTCTTCATGTTAGTGTCAAATAATAAATGGTCATGAGAATTGAATGAGGAAATAGAAAGCATTTAGAATAAACGAGTGCTAGCAAATATTACCCTTGATTTTTCTCAATTATCTCCTGAGGTTATGTTTTTGATACTTATCTTTCCATATTTATGGAGTTCATTAACTTTGTAACACTAAATCTGTATTCAACATCACAGAATAAATTCTACCATTTCAGGTGCAAAAAATAGAGCTTTTACAAGTTTTTCAGTCATTAATCCAAAACACAATGTGCTGAATTGTTAAAATAAACACTCATCAAGCATACAGAGTTTCAGAGTATAAAAGTATTCACTGTTTTCTACTAAGCAATGCAAACATAAAGATGCAGAGGACAAGAGCTCTCAATCTAGTGCTATGTTTATAACCAGATTTGCACTGAGGAAGAAGCACTCTGTCCAGGAAGTCTAGAAACCATCTGGGTAAAATCTTAAGTGGGAATTAAAAATAGCAAAGTATGCATTAAAAAAAGAGAATAGATTTGCAGAATTGTACTAGTAATGATGGAACATCTGCAGGTCATTTAAGAGAGCTGCATTATTATTGTCGTGCTTGGATGCAGAATTTAGAAGTCTGTGAAGGGCTTTAAGAAAAAAGCTGAGATTAAATTATACAGAGTAGACAATGTTGAGTGTTTTTTTTTTTAATGGAGCAATATTTGGAAAGTGAGGCCAAAAAATTATTTTAAAAAAGACAAATTTGTAATCTAGTTTCTGATTTTATTTGAAGCAATTTATTAGTGTGAGAATGAAACTACTCAACCTTTTAAACTGTTTACTTATCTGAAAATAGCTACTTCAGTGATGTACTGAAGATTAATAATAATCTATGATAGCTTGTACAACGTTACTCAACACATTAGGATGCATATGTGGCCGTCAACATATACCATGAATATTGTAAAAGTCTTTGTATATTAACTCATTTAATTATCATCATAATCCTAGTAGGTATTTTTCCCATTATAAACTGAAACACAAACAGGTTCAATAGCTTACACAGGGACATGTTAACTAGCAAGTGACAAGAGACAAGACTCAACCTAAAGCAATCTGGATCCAGTTCAATGTCCTTAAGGATGTATTACAACGCTTCTCTAGGAAAGACCATGTCCGTGTTTGTAAAACTCTGGAAGAATCTTCTAATCTTTCAATTTAATAGGCAGATTAATTACTTAGCTAATTAGAATCTGAGATTTGAAGTACAGGGAGCAGCATTTAACAAATCTTCAACCTACTGTATACATACCAAAATATGAAACTCATTTATATAAAGCAAAACTCAAAAGAGTCCATGTAGGGCAAAGTAACAAATTATGTTAAAGAAATTAATCCAAAACAGATTATCACTTGCTGGTGGTAAACATGAAACAAACAGATTGTGTCCAATCCTTAGGTGAGTTAATGTCTTTGCTGCAGTTTTGTGGAAAATGTTTGTATTTCAATGTTTGTAAGCATTATTTCAATCTTTGCTTCCTGACAAATGAAAAAAAAAAAAAATAGATTCCTTAGTAATGATGGAGGAGCCAGCGATGGATTAAATAATGTTTTCATTCCGAATATCAGCCCTTTTATATGGTGTAAACCCCTCGTATTAAAATTGTAAAAGAAGCTTAAAATATCTTTTCCTAGAAAGCAACATAAAATGAAGCTGACATTTCAATAAGGCGATATAAAACACCTAAGCACAACATATTTAGTTTATATTTACCACGCATATCGAAAATATTTGAAAAAAATATGACTTTTACTACAAGTTACGAGAGTTTAGTTCAATGTTAAAAATGAACTCCCTCGCCCCCCAAAAAACCACAAACGACAGCAAACCGGAAGGAAAACATACTCTTGAATAGAGTTCTCTCAAAACGACTTTAAGAACCCATTTGGCCAATGAATGAAGAGGGTGAAAAGGCAAGCCGGTGGGACTAAACCTTATCCCCACTGTTTGCAAACTAAGACCCAGGCGAACCACCGCAGTTATTATAGCCAGTGTATAAGCAAGAGTCTCAGGTTCTTGCGGTACTTGAAAAATGCCAACGGTGAAAAGAAAAATATCCGGATTTAAAATACAAAGGGTGCTCAGATTTCCTTTAAACCTCCACCAGGCATCTGAGAGACTGTCACTCCCCTGCGCTCCGGGTAATAAGCAGCCTCCCCGTACGGCTCTCGGGAACTCCTGGGCTGCGGGGGCACCTCGGCACCGAGCCGCGCCCTCCCCCACCGTCCATCTTTAATAAAGGGGATTCTGTTACCTGTGGTAACACGCTGGCGCCCAGATTCCACCACAGTCGAGGCTTCCACATTCAAGCCCCACTGGTGGAAACGACACTGCGACTACGGAAAACGAAATCACAGGAGGCAGCGTCTGCACCCGGCTTGATTTTCCGGGCCTGCCAGGCCTCGCAACCCACGGTGCGCGAGACGCTCAGCAGCCTGCGACTTCCCACGGTCTTCACAGCAGGCCCCGGGCCGGACACCCCCAAAACGCACCCCGAAGTCTGTCCGGCCTCCAGACCCACTACCCCATCCGCCGGTCCCGGTTTTTTTCTCCCTGGAATACTAGCTTTCTTGCCGTTCCCTACCTCCTTCCCAAGGCGCGCTGAATCCTAGCTCCAAGACGACCCTGTCACTTTTCGCTGCTCACTCGCAGCTGCCGCAGTCAACGGCTAGCAGGATTCAAATTCGCCCACTTCCGCTCGCAAGCCGGAAGGAGCGGCCGGCCCCCTCCGTCGCGGGGCGGCCCGCACTGGCTCGGACTGGAGGCCGGGCCGTCGCAACCTGCTGGGGGTGGCTCCCCGGTGACCCCTTAGCTGTAACTTCTTTTGTCCACGCTTGCAGCTAGATCCCCAGAGGGGAGTGGGGTCGTGGAGGTCATTTCTTCCCCAGGGCTCTCGCGGAGGGGTGGGGGTCCGCTGGGTTCTGAAATGGACAGGAAAGTGCCCGAGGCCCCCGAGCGGGGTGCATGTGAGCGCTTAAACTCTGGGAAGCTTTTACTCCTCCTCTCGGCCTGCTGTAAACAGCCACGGCCTCCAGATGGAAAAAACAAACTGCCTACCAGCGCAGGTTAGTCTGACCCTGCTTGTTCTGGTCGGGGCAGTCAGGACTTGGAAAATTGTTTCCGTTCGTTGTTTAAAGAAAACAAAAAACAGTATAGCAATGACTCCTAATCCAGCCCCAAATGGAAAATTAGGGATCATTTTACAAAACTAGTACATTGACTAACACCCGTGAAATTCGCCGGACAGCAGTTACTTTCTTTTTCCGACAATAATATATTTTTGATCCAAAAAGAAGCCTCTGCAGGGACATATGTAGGAGTTTTAAGAAACTAAAGATTTAGACATCATGTAAGTGGGCTGATGGAGGGTAAAGGTTAACATTTCAGGCTGTGATTATGCTCACATCTCACAGCGTTAATTTACCTAAACTGATTGATTGGTTCAAACTAAGCCATGGCAGCATTTCTCTAGGATCTATCGAAAATATAATTTGAAAATGTGTTACGTGTGCATGTACTGACTCCCCGTGAGGAATGTAATTATTAGGTCCTGCAAACGGATACTAAAAAAAAAATGTTAAAATACAATTTGAAAGATTTGTTAGACTTCTAGGTATTTACCTTACAGACAATCTGATATAGGAAGGGTTTAAAGCTATTTATTCATTGATATACTGTTTTTTAAGAGTGGAAAACAGGAAGCAATCTGTGTCTACCACTAAGGAAATGGTTACTTGAGTATAAGTTAGGATCTGATATCCTGACATGGCAGGCTCTAAAATAATAAAGATCTGTAAGCACTGCGATGAAAGAAGTTAAAGTGTAATGTCTGGATAGTGTGTGTTTTTATTCATTCAGTGAATACAAAATAATGATTTTATTTTGTCATCATAAAATATATTATTTAATGTCCACATTTCTAATATGTCACCATTAATTAGCAGCTCTTTGAAGTTCCTTTAAAAGCAGAAACTAGAGACGGGTGTGGTGGTACACATCTGTAAACCCAGCACTTCCGAGGGATGAGGCATGAGGATTGCTTTGTGTTGCAGGCCAGCCTGGGCTATATGAATTCAAGGGTAGCATGAACTACATAGTGAGACCGTGTCTCAAAATCCAAACAAAACAGTACAAAACAACAAAAAAGGCAAAACCTGATCGTATATTTTCCTGTCATAATTCTTGGTATCTTCCAACCATTAAGTTTCACCCTGCACAGGAATTAGTCTCACGCGACCCGCAAGAAAAGTTTATTAATTTCAAATTGCCTTGGAAAAGTGTCCCTAAATATTATACAACAGTAAATGTAGGTATATACACCTACATATTATGATTGCCTCTATTCAACTCTAGAAGGATTACAGATTGAAATATGTATATATTGGGTTAGAAACAATTAAGACTTTAATATGGAAAAGCTTTCTTAAAATAAAACAGGACTCCTATAAACCATAAAAATAAAAGCAAATACCTAATAACTAAAGTTAAAATTATTCGTAGGGCAAAGTCACAATAAAACATCAAAAGAAATGAGATGCTGTATGAAAATGTTTTTAAACTTATGACACTAGACAACTGATATCAAAGCTTATTATAATTTGATTTTTTTCAAAAATAAAAATAGGCATAAAAATGAAGTTTATTGAAAGAGTAAAAGAAGACAAAAAATATTCTCAATCTCACTAGCAACACAAAGCACACAAGCAAATGAAGACAATTTTCCTTCATTGGATTAGCAACAAAACAATTCATAACACCCCATGCTGGCACACCTGGGGAAGTAAAGTGTGCCCTTTAACCCACAGGAGCATAAATCACTACAATTTCTCTAGAAAGTAAAAGTGATGTAATTTTCCTCAATTTCAAGATTTACCTGTAGACATAATCTTGTTTTTGGAAGCATTACTCATATTGAATCTCACTGTAAGCAATTATCAAGAGGTAGCTAAATAAGTTAAACTGCAGTATACTATTAGGAAGCCTTTTAAAGCTGTCTTGCTTTGCTCTCTAAAACTGCTACCTTCAAAATTAGGGTCACTAACCCCCTAACAATAAAAGTGAAGCAGAGTACTTTTTAATTAGAAAAGTAAGAATACTCTGCAGTAATGCTATAAACTGCTAATTCATTCCTAAATGAATGCTAATTCATTCTTAAACTAGCATCACCTAGAATGAGTACAAGCTGGATTAAATTGTGCTCTATCATAGCTACTCTTCTTCCCATGTGTTAGCCACACTGAACTTCTGGTAACCCTTCCTGCCTTTCAAGAATCATTTGGCTTGACCCTCATCTCCTTTTCACAGCTGAAGCAAGTTAAGTACTTGCCCCTAGGTATGGCAGCTACTGGTAATTTTCTTTTCCCAATTAATAAATCTTAAGTATTTCTACTCTACTCATGATTTTGTTATTCCTTCCACATTTACCTCATTTATTTTGTACCTCCACTTAGTGATCTTTTATTTCCTTTAAATTTTTTAACACTGTGCTCTCTTGCTGTTTGTTCCTTTTCTTTTCTATGATTCTCAGAAATATTAGAATGCTTTAGAACACTATAATATCTCTATGATGTGAATGCTATGAAATTCTCATCCTATGGTTTCAAAATAAATTAGTCCATGTTATTAAAATCACCGTGAGTTGGGGCTGGGGATTTAGCTCAGCGGCATAAGCACCTGCCTTGTAAGCAGGCAGTTGTGAGTTCGATCCCCGGTACCGATAAAAACGAAAAAGACAAAAAAAAAAAAAAAAAAAAAAAAAAAAAAAAAAATCACCGTGAGTAAATTACAATGAAAATACTGTACAAATTAATTATTTGATTGGTGTTATGTGTGTCATCTACTATGCGATTGGTAATGCTAATAAATTTTCATTTTTATAGCAGATTTCTTTGGAGGAGTTGAGGATTGAATGTAAGGCTGTGTATACATCAGGCAAGCACTCTGTCTCTGAGCTATAACCCCAATATAGTAATTCCAGATGGAGTATTATGTATTCTCTAAAATGTTTCTTTCTTTAGTTTGCCTGACCAATCTTCTTACATCATTTTTTAAAAAAACTTGAATCAAAATACATTTTAGGAAAAGTAGTCTGCTACCAAATAAAATTCTTTTCTTGTTGTCTCATTCACTTGAATTTTTTTGATCTAAAATTGAAATCTAACAGTGGTTAGGTGTCTTTTAAGTAAAACATATCACCTCCTGACTGTAGGAAGCATCATCCACAACAGTGAATTTCAGGTCTCTTGTTTCAGGATTGTTTAGATAATAAGTAGATGCAATAAGCAGTGATTTGGAATGATACTCTTCCTACTGAGTAACAGTGGTTTTAACAAGAACAGCTCAAAGTTTACTTGTATCCACGGTGTTCTAATGCAGGTTAGAGTTATGGTTATAATATGTTAGCATGATCCCTCTTCAGGTTGGTGTTTCAAACAAATTTTTGTCTGGATTGCTTTTTTAAATTGCCATCTTTTGCCCTGAAATGTTTAGATATAAATTATAGCTTCTTTACAGTGAAGAGTAACTCCAAACGCAGGAGCACACACTGGTAATGCCATCCAGAAAAAATCAAGTAGTGAACAACATGCTTGAACTGAATCTTAAACATTCTTGGATACAATTGCTGGCAATCAACATTGTTTTCAGTTTATTTTCTGTATTTTGATTTTTCACTTCCTCTCAGAATAGTAGAGGGAGATAACTTCTCAACTGAGTTGATAAAGTGACTTAGTTATAGTAAGCCCAGTTCTCACTTGTGGGTCTTGATGAAGGTGGAAGAGAGCATGAAATTGTTACGAGGTTCTGGACCACAGAATTACCGGGTCAACCCAGAGAGCACCCTGTATGAAAAATTGTACAACTAGACCAAACAGTACAGTGTTCAGATTTTAAAGCTGAACAGTTTGAGGTTTAAATACTGCCTTTATTACTTTGAACCTAAGTATGAAGCACCCAATTCTAATATTTCTGAGAATCATAGAAAAGAAACAACAAGAGCACATAGAGTATTAAAAATTTAAAGGAAGCACCTTAGAGGTAAGCCTCCCTGCTTCTTTGCAAAATATAAATAACTGCCTTTAGGTTTCTTGTGCAAAAGGACAGAAAATAATGGTAATTATGATTAGACAGATAAAACAGAGTTCATACCCCTTCCTTCCCTTTTTAGCGGCATGTGGCATTTCAAGCCCAGTTTCCTAGAGCTAGTGGGCCACTGAGTGTCACATAAGGACTCTTCTCCCAGATGGATCTTAGCCTCATGTTCCTCTTCCCTTAAGAACATACAATAAATTCCTTAGAGACCTGCTTTTGGCTTTACACATTGGAAGCTAATTAAAATTCAACCTGTGTACTATAAAGAGCTAAGGGGTTAGTTTTAAGGGCTCTCTCTGTCTAAAATGTATAGTGAAAGTTTGGGAGTTGTCTTAGTTTCTTTGTTGCTGAGACAAAATACCTGGCACCCAAAGTTAAAGGAGAGTAAAGGTTTATTTGGTTTAAGATTCATAGAGGTCAGTTCATAGTTGGCTGGCTCCAAGGCATAATGGCACATGGCAGAGAACAGCGCATGGTGGCCAGAAGGTAGCAAGAAAGGGCAGCCTCTTTCTGTCCCTTATATTGTGTTCAGGTGACTGGGATCAGGGTTGTCTCAAATCAGTGGACTGATTTAGTAATCATCCACCCTTTATCCTATACACTTAATCCCAACATTGCACCATGAATTAGTCACACACTCTTGATTTAGCTACATATGAAAAAAAAAAAACCTATTACTACATCAGGCTTTTGGGGCAGGGAGGCATCTACACACAACCATAACAGGGGCAATCATTGGTGACATTTCATATCTAAGCCCCTTATATTTTTCTAAATTGGTTGTGTTTGTCTGGTGTCTCAGAGGTGAGCCATTACTTTGTTGTTTGTTAATTCAGCATGCAGAAAGTGATCATAATGAGGC